CTTTTGACCTCCTCCGTCGGCGCTCTCGGGTCGGCGCGCAGGGAAGTGGCCTTGGTTTTCCCTCTTCTGTATCTGAATAATCTCTTTCTCTTTCTTTCTTTTCTCTCTTTTCTCTCTCTCTCTCTCTCTTTCTCTTTCAACGTGTTAGCGCGCAAGACACCTGTATTATGACAGCCACGCGTCACACCCAGTAACGGAGGACAATCTGATTTTTTCTCCTCATCTCCTCGTCGCATGAACGTAATATGTGTGTGTGTTGTTTTTTCTTTTTCTTTTTTTCTTTTTTTTTGTTTTTCTTTGCTTTACCGTAATATTCCCAACGCCTTTCCGCGGCGACGACCGACGATCGCGGACTGCCGTCGAACCTGTCCCTCCCGCGTCATATCCGATTCCTTTCGCTCCGACTTCCCGGACCTTCTGCTGACAGGATCAGCTTCCGGCGTCTCAGTCCCGTTGCCTCGCTTGCCTTGCTCAGAGGCGCGACGCCATCTGCGGGAGCCCCGCACGCGGCAGGAGCTCCCCTCGGCTAATCGCGGTTGTCGCTGCAAGCGCCGTCGGCCACAGGATCGGCGCCATCTGCAGCGTGAGCCGAGACGAGGGGCGTCCTCGGCTAACTGTTAGGTCACAGCGCCATCTGCGACGGCCCTCGGCGCGGGTCACGCTCTCGGCTAACCTACCTGATGGGAAGAGCAAAGGAAAGGCGCCATCTGCAGCGTGACCCGAGACGAGGGGCGTCCTCGGCTAACTGTTATGTCACAGCGCCATCTGCGACGGCCCTCGGCGCGGGTCACGCTCTCGGCTAACCTGGACGGAAGTGAAAGGAAGGATGCTTGATCCTTTAGGATATGCAAACGGGAGAATAATAATTAAAAGGAAAGAAATATGAATAAAAATCATTCAAGGTTCGACAAACGTCACAAAAAAAGTCGAATCACCGACTCAGTATAAGCGTTGGGAGATGCATTTCATAAATCACCCACTTCTATTGAAATAGTTTTTCCCATAGTAGAGGTAGGCCAGCATAAAAATCGGGTTAAAGAAGAACCACAGAATTCGGAAAAGAATCTTAACTATGAGTCTGATTAGAACCCCAACAACATAAGTGCCGGCTGCGTCCACGACGTCGCAGAGGCGCATGGCAACCCAGAGGGCGCAGTGGCACACCCAGAGGGCGCACCGGCACACCAAACGAATCCTGGAGGCGATGGTCATCAGGTCCCGCGTGATAAGGAGGGACGTCTCCTGCGTGTTGACTGAGAGGTCCGACACGAGGCGGACGAGGGCCCTCGATAGGGTGGTGCAGACGAAGGCAACAAGCCTCCTGGGAAGGTCAAGAACCCTGTAGGCTAGTATAAAAGTCTTGACAGCCACAGTCGAGAGATCCCACACGAGGAACGCGACGCCCGTCCCCAGCATCACCAGCCACGCACGAGCGCTCTTGAAGGCCATGTTGAACAGGATCCAGAGGCCATATTTCAGGCCGTAGTTCAAGGCCGTCTGTACGACCATCCCGAGGAGGATGAGGCCCCAGATGGCCCAGCGGACTACCATGTAGGCCAGTATAAGAGTATTGGCACCCATGGTGAGGACATTCCACAGCAGCATCAGCTACGCATGGGTGATCTTGAAGGCCATGTCGAATAGGATCCAGAGGCCATATTTCAGGCCGTAGTTCACGACCATCCCGAGGCCGACCAGGGCCCAAAAGACGAGTTTCCCGAGGAGGAAAAACATCTGGCCGAGGGCCTGGATCACAGCATGGCTCAGCACCATACAGGCCCTCACGATCATCCCGAGGTCGACCAGGAACCCGAAGACGAGTTTCCCGACGAGGAGAGTCATCCGGCTGAGGACCAGGACCGCATCAAGGCTCAGTACTACGCAGGTCCTCACGACGTCGCAAAGTGCGAAGGCGACGCCTTTCTGGCTGAGGATGATGAGCAGGATGAGAACCACCTTCATCAGGAGCAGAAACCTGCGGCTGTCCTTCATTCCGCTCAGAATAGCCACCGTTGGCGGAAGCGACGCGTCCAAGGGTCACAGGAAGGAAGCAACCGAATTTGCGAGTGTGTGCGTATGATGTGCGTTGTGTATGTGTGTGTGTTTGTGTGTGTATTTTTAGTCCGGTCAAATCATTCTGATTGCCTCTTGTTAGTTTGAAGACATTCTCAGGAATGGCAATCGTGCAGCGAAGGCATGTGTTGCGTCCAGGTTCACCTCTCCTGTTGTGATGATTTCCTCTAGAAACAATTGATACGCAACACTGCGTGGTTGCTTCGTGCCTGTTTCGCCATCTCCCTTAGACGTTCCAGCACAGAACACCGAGGTCATTTCTGAACCATTTGGGAAGCGTTGTCTCATTTCCGAACCATGTTGAACATTCCGAGAGGGTTATAATTGTGTGTGTGTGTGTATCTAGTTTCATGTTTTTGTGTTTACAGTTTCTGTCTGTCTGTGTGTGTTCAGACGGGCAGCCAGCTCAAAATTCTGAACGGGCCCGCCCGAGAGAGGCACGTGCAGGAGGCCGCACTGCAATGTCCCGCGGGAAGCCTCCTCCGCGGCGGCCGCCCTCCCGCAGGAGACGCAGGAGGAGCTGCCGCTCGTTCGGCTGAAGAGTCGAACTAAGGTGCACCGCGGACCTCCTGCGAGGACGAACGGGCATTATCGCTGTCTGACCAACGGTCATATTTTCTTTCGCGCTGGGCCCCGAGGACTCAGGAGGACGGGCATCAGCGCCGGGCGCGTCGATGACCTTCAGGGGCGGCGAAGGCGACGTCGCGCTGCCTGTCCTCAGGAACTGATCGCTCTTCTGTATTCGTTTGGTTTAGTGTCCCATCACGCACTTTGCTCATTGATTAAAAAGAAAGTAAAAAAAAAAAAATCACTGTAAACATATTGGCGTGCTTGCGTGGCCGTGTGTGTGATTGCGTGACTGCCTGTCACTTTGTGTTTGTATGTCTGTGACGAAATCTAGAATCCTCTCTTTCTCCCGCTAATAAACGTGTGCGCGCATATATCTAAATTCATATGTGTGTTTGTGACTGCACACACACACACACACACACACACACACACGCACACAACACGCACACACACACACACACACACACACACACACACACACACACACACACACACAGACACACAGACACACACACACACACACACACACACACACACACACACACACACACACACACATACCAAATACGCATATCACACATCCCATATACACACATCACACACAGCCATGCAATTACATGTATATGTATGTATGTATGTATATATATATATATATATATATATATATATATATATATATATATATATATATATATATATATATACATATGTGTGTGTGTGTGTGTGTGTGTGTGTGTGTGTGTGTGTGTGTGTGTGTGTGTGTGTGTGTGTGTGTGTGTGTGTGTGTGTGTGTGTGTGTGTGTGTGTGTGTGTGTGTGTGTGTGTGTGTGTGTGTGTGTGTGTGTGTGTGTGTGTGTGTGTGTGTGTGTGTGTGTGTGTGTGTGTGTGTGTGTGTACTTATCAACTGCGGCCATTCCCCTTGCGTCACAGAAGTGGGCGGAGCTTAACAGGTAGATAGATAGATAGACCGATAGAGAGAGGGAGTGCGGGTGGTAGATAGACAGACAGCGCGATAGAAAGATTGACAGGCACGTAGGCAAAGAGATGGATATGTAGGTAAAGTAATGGATAGGTAAATGGATAGATTGATAGATCGGATAGGTAGATCGTTAGATAAATAAATATAAAAAGAATAAAGTGCGAAGGATAGATACATCGATAGAAAGGTATATTGATAAATAAACAGATGGATGGATAAATAGTTAGATTGATAGACTGATAAATTTTGCGGGCTCCTGGACTGTCTCATCCCCCTCAGATTCTACCATTAGCACGACGGTGACGCTTATGGATAGTTGGCATGCCATGGAAGGTCCACGCTGAAAACTTCTGTTCTTGGAACGTCCTGAGATGCTTAACTACTGTGTTCACGCCTGGACATGGCTCCTGACCTAATAGTTGAACAGCACACTTCCTAGTTTTTTTTCTCTCTCTCTACTAGGGTTGTAGTCCAATTAGTTTTTTTTTTTTCAATATCTCTCTTCCCTCCTCTATCTCTGTACTGTACTATCACATGGTGTTTGCGGCAGCCGAGTAAGTATTCTCCACAGTCGAACCAATCGACATTCATAGTGCAGCTTGCTGGGGAGATACAGTTCCGGTAGAAGTATTAGAAGAGCTGAATGAGGTTCTGCAGGAATGGGGTTGCCAGAGAAATCAGTTAAATTCGATATAAATGTAACGAGACGGGAACGATTGGGTCGGGTACGGAAGGGGCTCTGCCCTTGCTTTTGGAGATTGTTGAAAGTGTTGCCTGAGTAAGGAGCTGTAGGGGGGATCACGAAAAACTGGTCCCATTTGGCTGGGCTAAGTAGAGTATTTAAAATATTGGCAGAGTTGTGGTTGGTAGGGGACGTGTGGAAGCGGGAGTGTTGTTGAGGGGGTTAGTATTACAGAGAGATGGAGAATAAGGCTGTAAGGTAGTAATATGGGAAGACGAGGTGATTGGTGAAGAAGGCTGTGGTGGTAGAGCTGATGAAGTTCATGAAGGGAAAGTAGGAGTCTCGACTTGGGCGGATAATGCACTAGTAGGCATTGAGGAGTGGGTAATAGTTGTAGTAGTCAGAGTTGTGGTCAAAGGAGAGCCTGGGGTTGGGGAGAGTTTGAATTGGTGGGGCTATTTGATGAAAGGGCAAGCCTCATTGCCTCTAATATGGGTATTACATCTTCATTACTGGCCATGGGGAGCCCTAGCTATGTTGGGGAAATAAACAGTCCACCCCTCGGGGAACCCTTGAGGTGTAAGGGCTAAACAACAAAAGAGGGGAGTACTGTGCCCATGGTTCCCGCAGGCCGTTCAGGACTGGCGCAAAGTCAGCCTTTCATCCTTTCAGCACGGCTCTTACACCTTAGGAAGTAGATAGAAGAAGGGATTGGAGAAGGGATGGAAAAAAAAAGCTGGAGGGAGAAAAGGCCATGCAAAATTAGTCGAGGGCTGAGACCCTAGGCAGGGGATATCCCTGCATTGGGTCTGTCTCCGTCTCCTAAGCCTCCCCACAACACCACCAGGCAAGGGATTGATATGTATGTATGTTTGTAAATTTGTATGTGTATATAATATATATATATTTTTTAAGGCAGTTTAGAAAAATATTGTCAGCTCACATATGCATACTAGGAATAGAGATTAAGAAAATGTTAATATGGCTATTTTTCAATCCACAATGAAATTAAACCTAAAGCCATAGCTTTCACAAAAAAAACAGATTTTCCTTCACTTTCTGTAATTAACCAAGCATTTCAAACAAATATTTTCATGTATTTATAAAAAAAAGGATACAATGATTTATATAAATTTAAAGAAATAAATTAAGAAAGAAAAATCAGAATTACTTATGAAGTGTAAATGCTCATTTTGAACTTCCTTGCTTATTTGTCCATGTTTAATTATTCAATTATCTTTTTCTTTCAGCCATCTGTCACAAAGAGTGCAAAGGTGTCAACTTATCAACTGATTTTCAAATTCAGTATTACCAGCAAACAGTTTTGTAAGGTCTTGTAGCCCTGCTTTAATAGCAAGCAGCTATGTAATGTCTCGCTGCTGTGCTTTACCAAGTCACGCGTCAAAGGGAAACAAAAAAACACGAGTTTCTAATGAAAGGTATCCTTTATGTACATCTTCATAATGGATTCTCTAGGGATCATACAAGTTATGGCATGAGTATTGCTGTCAATGCCACCACACTTCCATACACACAAAAGCACTGTCGATAAGAATGCTATTGTAAAAATTATACCAATCAAGTAGTAGTACTCCATTTACAATAGGACACAAGAAGAATCTCATGGCCTCGTGTGGAGCAATATGATAAAAGCTAATGCAACCTACCTCACTACCTGTCCTTAGCAACATTTGAAAATTGCTGCAAGAATTCACAATAGACTAAAAGTTTGCTTGGTAATGACAAACTGGAATGCCATTTTCACCAATTCACCATACCATACTTAAATAATGAACACTGGCACCAAAGCATGTATTACTTGAACAGTTATATGGAATTGAAGAGGTCAGGGGCCTGATGATGCTAATAATAAGCACTCAAAAACTGGATCTGTTGATTATAATAACCAAAACTATAATGTTCCAACACTTCTGTACTAATAAGGATAGTGCAAAACCTGGAGAAGGATAAATGTCTAGGAGCATTTAGGATTCATCTTTGCACAAGAAACACCACCATACTGACAACTTTCGTTAACCAGAATGTTGTACCCATCAACGAGAGGAAATATACACAAAACAAGGTAGCCGGGAGAAGTTTAACCTTTCCGAGATATTCTGACAGTTAATCTTCAAACTATACAAAGCAACAGAAAAAGGTACATTACAACTTCTCAAGAAAGGCTGAGTGTCTCTTGTGAACCCTACTTAAGGCAAATAACTGATGATCATATTTATCTATCAATAAATAAACAGTAGCACCAAATCAGAAGTTATAATATTATCTACAAAGATAAAAAGTATGCTACACTGGGCATTTGCCACCAATCACAGACAGACATCGTGCATTGTTAACCTCTGCAACGACATTACTGACCTCATGCTCTTTGTGGAGAGGTTTTTTTAAATCTGTATGAGTGCCTATATCAAAAGGGGTGCCTCTGTTATTCAGGAATAGGAAACAATATTCACAGACAAGGAGTAAATGGTCAGAGTGGGGACCCGTAGAAGACAGGAAATGCACCCCTCATTTTAACCATAATTTGAGGAGAAACGGTTTCCAAGTATTGTGGAATGAATAGGTCAGCTATCTCCAGGATCTGCCTTGGAGCCAATATTCTAAACACGAGAGCTGCACGTTATCTGGATCAGCTGAATCTCTTTGACACGATGGACTTCACCGATAGTAGAATGTTTAGATTCTTATTGCTCTTCTAGACCTATTGATTGGGGTCTAAAAAACATCTCTGAATGTTTCTTGGTTACTTGTAGTTGAGCGAGAGTCTGAACATAATACCTATAGTGAGCTCATGCAAATAAAAATCACACACGTATCACCAACTTGATTCAATAGCACAAAACAATGATTAACACAAAAACCTAAACCCTACTTCTTCAACTTGGCTTAACTAATGCATGTCCCCTATTCCTCATTTAACTTTTAAAAATTCCTAAACTGGAATGATACACCAGGTTTCAGTGATGACAAGGGACAGCAGTCTTCACTATGCTGCAATGACACAAAAGTCTTGGTTAAGAACCGTCTGCTTGGTGAATAAGCTTCTTATGTGGTAATTCATCTTGGAAACATGTATTTTGAGACTCAAGGTATATCGGCGTACTTAGAAGGATCTGGTTGCTGGACTACTACCTATCATCAAGCAATGGCGGCTCTTTAGCTAGCCTTTCATTCGTAT